CTCACCTCCGAGGCCCAGCGGCTTCGCCGTCAGGGGCCACGCTGGGCTTCCTTTGCCACGCGGTCAAGCGGGAGAGGCTGGCGGGACCCAGAGCGTGGGCACCGAGTCAGACTCTGCCCGGGTGGAGCGGGGAGCAGGCCTCACCCTATGGCTCCGGGGTTAGGAGGCAAGGATGCTGAGCCCCAAGCCTCAGATGCGGCTGGCCCGCTCCCTGCTGGAGATGCAGGCGCCGCCGCTCCCCGTCCGCAAGAACGGGACGCTTCCCGAGGCCGTGCTGTGCCCCTGGGGTGACACGCAGACGTAGGCGCAAATCCTCCTCCTCCAGATGCGTGTCCAAGGCGTCTCGATGGCGAGAGTGAGTTTAGCCAAGGCCAAGGCCAGGGGAAGAGAGGTTTGTCTTTCTGACCCCGCCCCCAGGCCCCCCCCCCAGGCAGGGGTGGGGAAGGACAGCAAAGCAGGGACGATGTAGCTTTGACCCCCTTTCCGAGCCAAGAGCTTCAGGTCAGGAAACAGGACTGAAGGCCAGGCTGTGCCTCCAGGAGGTGCCCTGGACAAACGAGGGTGCAGGTATGGTCAGCCCCACACAGCTCTGGGACCCGAGGCCGGGTGGACGATGAGATGCCTCCCGGCCTCGGGGGGGCTGCTGGCCCCTTGTCGTGGCCCCTTGAAAGCACAAGTCACCTGATGGCCAGGCACGTGTCCACGTGTGGGAAACACGTGGGCAAGCGTGAAAAGGAAGGACGAGGCCGGCCCACAGCAGACAGCGGCCCTTCCTGGCTGTGTGGGAGCTGCCAGGCCCCCGGCCTCGCCTGGTGGCCACCCGGGGCGGCTGCCCTCTTCCATCTCCACCTCAGCAGCTTTTCCTCTCCAGGGCGAAGCTGGACCCCAAGGTGACCAGGGACGAGAAGGCCCCGTTGGCATCCCCGGAGACCCGGTAGGAAGCCCGGCTGCCGGGGGGCAGGAGGGGAGCTGCTGCCAGTTTGGATCAGCTCACAGATTTAGGGGGAGGTCCCTTTTCTCTTCCCACCTGGGGTGCTTCCTGCAGGGGTAAGGCCTGGAGACCTTGGGATGTCTGGGGTCGGGTGGGGGGCCAGGGTGGCTGGTGCGGATTGGTGAGCTGGGCCCAGTGCTCCCAGGGGAACCCTGTCTCAGGGTGGGCGCCTGCCAGGGTGCAGCACTGAGTGCGCAGAGCCCCATGCTGCCCCCAGCTCTGCCCTCAGGGCGAGGAAGGGTGCCCTGGCTCAGCTGGTGCTGGGGGAGGGCAGTGGGCTTGGAGGCCAGGCTAGGGCATGCGGGGACAGGGCGGGCAGCAGCAGGGGCGTGCTGGAGTCGGGGGACCCTGGGGACCCCCTGGCCTGGTGGAGCGGGGTCACGGGGGACTGAGCCCAGACAGAGGCACCCCACATTGGAGACAGGGTGTGTGAGCCTCTCTCAGTGTTCGGAGCCCAGAGGTGAGATCCTGGCTGGAAATTGATTTGGGAGTGTTGGTGCACAGAAGGTTCTAGAATTCCTGGATGTGACCTTCTAGAGGCCATGCTGGGGATGAGGAGGACAGTGGAGGCCTGAGGAAGCAGCGGGCTGGGTGGAAGGAGGGGGCGGGGGACAGGCAGGAGGCTGTGAGCGGCTGGAGGCGGGGCACAGGTGAGACGACCCTCCCCAGGGAGCATCATGCCCGCCGCTGCTCTCAGCCCATCTCCAGACCCCGGCCCGGGGCTGGCCACGGGGGTCCACGAGTGGAGGGTGGGGACAGGATGCACGCAGAGGCGAGGCACTTTGGGATGCAGTCCGCACTTGGGCAGGCCTCGGCCAGAGGGATACCGCTGGTGGCCAGTGCATCCTGGCAGAGGTCAGCAGGGCCTGCTCGAGCTCCAGCCGGCCCTGGGGGAGCCCAGGAAAGGGGGCACACAGCCTGGTGCCACCCTTATTTTTGGGGTGCTGGCCATCCAGTGGGGAGACAGACCACACGTAGTGAACACGTAGCAAGCTGACCTATGTGCGTGGTGAGGACGCCTGGCTGCAGAGGTAGGTCCCGCAAGGCCCTCGCCCCGCCCGCCGCCTCCCGTGGGGTGAGGGCTGCCCCAGGGTCCACGAGCCCCTGAGGGCCCCTGCAATTCGGGGTGCTGCCGGGCTGGGCATCGGCCGGCTCTGCCACTGACCTGCACTGCGGCCTCTTCCTTGGCGCCCTCGGAAGGGTCTACTTCCTGCCCCTTCTCGTCCCCGTTGACTGTAACGGGATTGTCTGCAGTATTTTCCTTTACAGAAAAATACTGTAGGGAGTCCCCTGGTGGCCTAGCAGTTAGGATGCCGGGCTTTCACTGCCGTGGTCTGGGTTCAATCCCTGGTAGGGGAAATAAGACCCCACAAGCTGCACGGCATGACCAAAAAAAACAGAAAAATACTGTAATAAATATCAACATCCATCTGCCGTTCAGTCAGCTCATCTGTCCATCTGTCCATTCATCCATCCATCTCTATCCATCTATCCGTCCATCATCTATGTACATGTGTGCATCTATCCATCTACCATCCACCCATCTGTCATCTGTCTATTCATCTATCACATATCTGTGGATATATGTATCCATCCGTCCATCCATCCATCTACCCACCCAGCCATTCATCCATCCATCCACCCTGAAGAGCTTCCAAGGCTATGTCCAGAATGTAAGTTCTTAGCAGCAACATTTCTTAGCCCAGTGGTGTGTGTGTGAGTTGATATTTGCCAAATAATCCTACTTACTTCTCTATCTGGCCCCCACTCACACTCCCCCAAGAGTGTGAAATAGGACGGCTCCCACACCTTTGCCAAGATGAGCTATGATCAGACTCCTGATGTGAGCTTTTTCTCCCCTCTTGCTTTGACTGTTCATGGGTTTACGGGCCAAGCGCGGTCTCTGCCGGGCTGTCGAGGCTGCTGTTCATTTCCCACCGGCATCTGTGTTTCCCACGTTGATGGCGTGGGGCTCCATCCGTGGTGGAGACGTTTTGTCAGTTGTCATCTGCGTCCTGACCTTGTCTACGGTACCCTGTGGTTGAGGATGTCCTGCTCGTTTACAAAGATTTACAAATGCGCTCACCCCTTTTAGTGTATTTTTTGCTTACATCTTTGATTTGTCTGGAGTCTAGCCTGAGGGGCTGGAAGAGAGGTGAGCTTGGCCTGCTTGGCTTTTTCGGCGAACGGCCAGCGCGTTGTCACAACACACGTAACTGCAGTCTTTCCTGCTGGTTAAAATGCACTTCCATCATGTTTAAACCCCCTCACCTACGTGTGCCTCTTTCTGGTCTGGCTGTCGCACACCCCTCCTCTTTCCATTTCCACCCAGTTCCCACAACTGTAACTCATGTGGCCTCAGGCCGGGCTGGGCCTGCTGCCTGGGTGGCTTCCTGGGCCCCTGCCTGGGCCCCTGACTTTCCTGGACAGGAACCAAGGAGCGGTAACTGCTCCTGGCCGGTGCTGCCGGGACAAGCTGCCCGTGTGACCCAGGTCTTCCTTGTGGCACCTTCAGGAAGTCATTCGAGACTCTGCAGGCACGAAGCTCTAAAAGCAGAGCCGACGCGGGTTCGTGGGAGCCTCCCAGCAGCATTAGTTTTCAGTCATGATAGTCACTGCAAAGAAAAGGAAATGACTGAGAGTGTGGGGAGAGAGGGAGGCCCCACCCCAGGCGGTGGGGACCCCGGGCGCTGCTGGGGGTGGCTGCCCCCTTTGGGAGGGGGCCCTGTGTCCCCCCAGCCTGTGAGCGACTGGAGACGGTCCCCTCCCGACCCGTGGCTCCCAGCCAAGGAGGCGCTTGGTCACCTGGACATTCGACTTGCGGGCCTCCAGGCTCTGGCTTGTGTGCCCCGCCCTCCCAACCCCACCACGGACCCACGACCGACTCCAGGCCCAGCAGGAGGCCGGCTCCGACCCCAGGGTCCATGCAGAGAGTTCTGGGAAATGTGTTTTCCCAAATCTCAGGAAAAGGCAGTGGAGAAACAGAGGACAGGGTCTCGTCGTCCCGTGGCGGGCCCAGCCGTCAGGCCTCGCCTGTCCCACGTCCCACCGCGGTGGGCACCCCCTCCCACCCGCGAGGGTGCCAGCTGCCCACAGGAGCTCTGCCCGAGTTTGGTCTTTCTGTGTCTTAGGCAGGCCCTTGAGTCCCAGTTTCCCAGGAGGTGCTACCCGGGACCAGGAGGTGCCGTTTTTCTTGCCCCGAGGCAGGTCTCGGGGCCTCAGCCTGACCCCCTGAGCCCCCGTGTCCCCGTGGCCAGCGTGCAGGGAGCGTGATGCTGGCGCTGGCCGAGGCACACAACCACGCCAGCTCCCGGGCCGTGGCCACGGCCGGACCCTGGCCCGGTGTGGGGCGGCAGCGCTGCAGCAGCCTCTTGGCCGGATAACGGGCGTCGTGCACATTTGTGACGGGAGGGCAGCCAGCAGAGAACTCATGAGAAGTGCCGCCTCATGACGGGGCGCAGGGGACGGGCCTCTGAGTCCAGGGTCCTGTTGGTGGGGCCCAGGGGGGCAGGCGGGCCAGCAGCCCCCTGAGTGACACACGCTTGCCCTCGTCACTGGGGCCTGGCTGGGGGCGTCTGTGCAGTGCTCAGGGGACCGAGAGCCTGGCCCCGGAAATGCAGGGGTCACCTCCAGAGAGGGACGGGGATAGAGCAGCCAGGAAGTGTGGGGTCTGGGGCCTGGGGGCTGCTCTGGGGCAGAGGGGGACCGACGGCTGCCGCCCTCTCTCTTCAGGGTGAAGCTGGCCCCACTGGACCGAAAGGATACCGCGGTGACGAGGGGCCCCCAGGGACCGAGGTGAGGAGCCCTCCCCGCCCCCCATCCTAGGAGGGGCCAGCCCTGGACCCAGACCCCATCCTGTACCCAGCGCTTCCTTAGGAGATCCCCCCAGGCTCCTTACCTGTTAAAACTGTTTCATTTCACCCCACAGTATATGTGACTCTTAGGACATTTAGAAAATGAAAAAAACTACAAAAAGAAATCTAAAACACCCCCCAGAGATAAACAGCATGAAGAGCTTGGCTTATTTCTATCCAAATTTCTTTTTTCTTTCTTGCATGTTATGCCTTATAAATTTGACTTGGTAAGGTTTTTTGTTGTTTTTCTCATCATGAGCTCAAACCTTAACGATTTTTCAACGCGTTGTTGACGTGCTCCCGTTGGCCATGCCTGTAGCTCGATCTGCTGGTTCCCCCACCCCCGCCGGATGGGCTCTCGGGTTTGAATTTCCTGCAGTGACCCCGTGGGTTTCTGTCCCTGTTCTGGTCACCTCCTCCTCGGGTCACTCCCTGGGTGGACCACTGGGCAGGTGTGGCCTCTAAGGCCCGAAGGTTACGCGGCCCCCGGACCGTCGGTTTGAATTCCCTTCTTTTAGTCATTTCTGTGCTGCGTGAAGACGTGTATTTTATTTAACTGCTGCCCCTCTTTCCTCCAGGAGGCCTTGTGCCTCTGAGCCTGTGCGGCTCGCTGCCTGGTGTCCACTTCATTTTCTCCTCCTTAGGGCCCGGCAGGAGCCTCAGGGCCCCCAGGACCCCCCGGAGACCCCGGGCTGATGGGCGAAAGGGTGAGTGACGCAGGGCACAGGGCACAGCCCTGGTGGGGGGCTGCCTGGGACGCCAGAGTCCAGAAGCAGCCGGCCTGGGCGAGTCCCACAGTGACTGGACGTGGTCTGCTCTCCCAGGGTGAAGATGGCCCGCCCGGAAACGGCACCGAGGGCTTCCCCGGCTTCCCTGTGAGTGTCCCCCGACACCCCCTTTGGCCAGTCGGGCACACGGGCTCCGTGGCTGGGATTGCCCCTCGTGGCCCCCCGCCATGTCAGAGCCCGGCGTGACTGTCCTGCCTTCCCTGCAGGGCTATCCGGGCAGCAGGGGTCCTCCCGGGATAAATGTGAGTACACGCCCGTCTGCTCTGTCGGCCCCTGGAGCACACGTGCACGTTCAAGCACATCGCTCCCACACCTGAGCAAGCACACATGCAAACACTCACACACGTGTAGACGCACTGCCCCCCGCAGCCCAGCTGTCGCCAAGGCGCCCCAGCCTGCGTCTCCGTCTCTGGGAGCCCCACCCGGCCCTGGGCGGGGTGCCCCTGCTGAGACTCCCCTCAGGAGCCGAGGGCTCCACCGCACCCCCCACAGCCCTGACCCCCCCAGGAGCCCAGGCCCGCAGCACCCACCCCTGACCCTGGGCCCGGCTCCCCCTAACCACGTGCTCCCCTGCAGGGCACCAAAGGCTACCCTGGCCTCAAGGGAGACGAGGGAGAAGCCGGGGACCCCGGAGAGGACGTGAGTGCAGAGCCCACCACATGCTGTGACATCCCGGGTCGGCCTCAGCCTCAAGGGCCCGGACCCGGAGGGCTGTGGTGGCTTCGAGGGCGGCTGAGGGTCCGGGGTCGAGGGTGCAGTGGGCAGGCTCGCAGCAGGGGGTCCAGGGGCTCCGGCCACGTGTGGCGGTGCCTGTAACACCGCACTGTCCTTCCAGAACAATGACATTTCTCCCCGAGGCGCCAAAGGAGCAAAGGGCTACCGAGGCCCCGAAGGCCCCCAGGTGCGTTGGCGCGCGCGGGCAGGTGCCCCACCCAGAGGCTGCAGAGGCTGGGGGTTGGGGGCGGGAACCTGGGAGCCAGGCTCTGGGGAAGGGCTCGGGAGGCGGGGCTTTGGCAGGCAGGATGAGGGGGAATGGGCAGTTTCAGGGTGGGGGGCTGAGCAGGCAGGTGTGGGCAGAGAAGGGGAGGGTGGGTCTCCAGGTGAGGCGTGATGGGCACGGCAGGGCCCAGGGCGGTGCCTGGATGAGGCTGGGCACCCTGCCCCTCGAGGTGGCGCCATTAGACCCACAGGGACACTCTGCCCCAGGCGGTGAGCACCCACAGACCACCAGGAAAGGGTACATTAGACAGTTGTCGCCCAGCAGACGGAGGTAGCAGGTCCCCCAGCCCTTAACGTGCAGAAGCCTCAGCTGCCTCTAGTGTTGGGGGGGCCCTAAATGGAGGTGGGGTCAGCCGAGGGCTCCCGTCAGACCTATAGCCCAGGAATGGGGCAGGGCCCCAGCGTCCACCCTTTCCTGTCCTTTCTCTGACAGGGACCCCCAGGACACGTGGGACTACCAGGGCCAGACGTAAGTGGGGTGTCTGTGGACATCCTTGGGGGCCAACCGCTCTGGCCCAGCATCCTGTGAGGGTGGGGAGCCGTGATGGCGACGGGCGGGGGACACGTGATGGCCACAGGGGGGCACATGGTGGCCATGGGGGTGTGATGGCCGCAGGAGACATGTGATCGCCATAGGGGCACATGATGGCCATGGCGGGGCATGCGATGCCACTGGGGGGACACGTGGTGGCCATGGCGGGGCGTGCGGGGCCACTGGGGGGACACGTGGTGGCCATAGGGGAACACATGAAGCCGGGGGGGGGGCACATTATGGCCACAGGGTGGATATCTTATGGCCACGGGAAGACACGTCTTCGCCCCCACAGGAACGTGTGATGGGCACGGGGGTGGGACGCGTGGCCACATGTCGGGGACCACATCAAGTGCTCATGCCTGCAGGCAGGGGCCTCACAGGCAGAGCAGGGCACACCATGGGAAGGGAGACACCCTGCCCAGCCCAGCCCCTCTGTGGTCCCAGCTGTGGTCCCAGGGGATGGGGACCTGGAAGGCTGGCCTCACCCCCAGAGCCTGGGGCAGCCCTGTTGGGGTCACAGCAGGGCCTGTTGTGTCTCATGGGAGTGTCTCACCCCCTCCCCAGGAATGCGAGATTTTGGACATCATTATGAAGATGTGCTGTGAGTATCTCCACCTTTGAGTCACTGTCCTAACTAGAAGGAACATCCTGCCACGGTGCCGGCCGGGGTGAGGCAGGCATGGGGGCAGGCGTGTGCCCACCCACTGGAGTCCTGGAGGGCCGGGGAGGGCTGGCTGGAGGGTTTAGTCTCAACGACCCCGTAATTTCCTCTTTCTCCTCCTCCCAGCTTGCTGTGGTGAGTGACTCTTCACCTGGTGTTCTTAGCGTTCGAGTGGACTGACCCCGTGGGGGGTGGAGCCCCTCGCCCACACTCCCGCAGCCCTGGGGTGCTGGCCCACCTCGTCCTCTCCCCGCTCACACAGCAGGCACGGGGGGACGGGAGTTCTCCCAGTGCCCCCGGGTCCTCGAGGCCCTGCCCCTCGGGGCTGCCCTGCTCTGGAAGGGGTCCTGGGAGGAGCCCCGAGGCTGAGCCTGCCACCGCCCACAGAGTGCAAGTGCGGCCCCATCGACATCCTGTTCGTGCTGGACAGCTCCGAGAGCATCGGCCTGCAGAACTTCGAGATCTCCAAGGACTTCATCGTCAAGGTCATCGACCGGCTGAGCAGGGACGAGCTGGTCAAGGTGAGGTGCCCACCCTGGCCTCACTCGAGGACGGAGCTTCCCAGGAGAGGTCTGTCCTGACACCAGAGTGGAATGGCCAGGTGCTGGGGGCCATGGGACGGACGCTTTGTTTCTCGAAAGCCGAAGCCCCCAGCCCACCAGAGCATGAGAGTCACCCCGGGGGCCCAGGGGCCCGGGAGCTGGTCCAGCCTGGGACAGGTGGTGGGTGGAAGGGCGGCCCAGGAGGGGCATGGGTGCCTCGGGGGCCCCTCGTGGGGGCCGCTCCCGACCGCGGCTCCTGTCCCCGTGCAGTTTGAGCCTGGGCAGTCACACGCGGGCGTGGTGCAGTACAGCCACAACCAGATGCAGGAGCACGTGGACCTGCGAGACCCCAACATCAGGAACGCCCAGGACTTCAAGGAGTGAGTGCAGCTGCTCGGAGCCGGCCCACACACGGTCCCCAGCGGGCCCCCCCGCCCTGCCCTGGAAATAAATAATAAAATATTCAAATGTCTCTCAGTTTAAAGAAAGAAATTCAGTTCTGAAAGGATATATTTATGTTGGCAGTCACTCTACCTGATGTGTAACCATGAGGAAAGTAGCAAGAGAAAAAGCTCAGTGTGACAATTGGACAGTGATATGCACCTATTAGATGCTTGCTGTATGCCACCTCTGGCATTATAATCCTTAGGATGATAAGAAAAAGAGGCAACATATATGAGCTCTGCCCTCAGGAATGTTGTTAATATATATGTACATATAATAGCATACTTACTCTAGATAAGCCCTTGTAGACATTACCTTAATTATTGCTCCAAGTGAATAAACTAGGCACTAAATACAAAATATTTATGATCCTTAAGTGTCCAGTTACTGTAAACAGTATGCACTGTATGAACAAGCTGAGTGGAGTTGTGGTAGTGCACGGATTTACAGTCTGGCTGAGAAACAAAGGAGAAGCAGAGGAACAAACTCACATAAAATGTCAGGAACTTAAAGTAGTCTATTATTAAGCAAAAAGTTGCATGACGCGGATTGTTTTATGAGGTTAAACGGATACAGAGATCTGTTAGAGGACACTCATTAGGGGATAGGCTGGTTTACAGGAAAAACAAAAGCATAAGGAAAACATTAATGTGGGGAGAGCAGCCAACCACATCGTAACTTTTCCAATTAGAATTATAAAGTACATACTAATGTTAGGAGGCTGGATTGGAACTATGTCAGTTATTGTGGAAAAACTGTGGAGTCCTGTCTGGAGATTGAAATGGACTTCAGCCCTGCCCCCGGCCCCCTGGCCCCCTGCCCCACACTGAGGGCGGCGCCGTGGCCCCACAGAGCCATCAAGAAACTGCGGTGGATGGGTGGAGGCACCTTCACAGGCGAGGCTCTGCAGTACACCCGGAGCCGGCTGCTGCCACCCACCCAGAACAACCGCATCGCCCTGGTCATCACGGACGGCCGCTCGGACACCCAGAGGGACACCATCCCACTCAGCGTGCTCTGCGGCCCTGACATCCAGGTGGGGCGGCCTCCGTGTCTGCACTGCCACCCTTGCGCCCTGGGGCTTGGGAGACTGTCCCCACCGGGGGCCACGCCAACACTGCCCCTCCCCCCAGGTGGTCTCCGTGGGCATCAAGGATGTGTTTGGCTTAGCCGCGGGCTCCGACCAACTCAACGTCATCTCCTGCCAAGGCCTGGCGCCCCAGGGGCGGCCGGGCATCTCGCTGGTCAAGGAGAATTACGCGGAGCTGCTGGACGATGGCTTCCTGAAGAACGTCACCGCCCAGATCTGCATAGGTGGGCGCGGGCAGGGGCCCCCTCGGCCCAGGCTTGGTCCTGCTCTGCTCTCACGGTGACCTCCGGCCACGGGAGCCACACACCCACAGCCAGTAGCATGCCTGCCGCCCCCCCAGCCACTTCCCACTCTTCCCCGAGGAGGCCTGGGCCTAGGGGACAACACTGCCCCTCCCCCCAGGTGGCCTGGCTCCCTTGTGGCCCAGCGTCCACACAGGTGCCCCCCGGAGTGTGGGCTGCACCGCATCTCCCGCCCGTTGTCCTGGAGCCACGAGCACACGTGTGTGCTGGAGTCTGAGGCTCGGTGCACCCACAGGTGCAGGCCGTGCTTGGTCTTGGAGCCTGAGACCCCTCAGAGGTGCTCACCTAAGAACATACTTGCCATGTCCATCTGGGCCTGGCCCCGGGTCAGAGTTGAGTCCACGGTGCAGACAGCTGGTCGGCAGCCAGAGAGAGCTGCGGGGTCAGACTCGGGGCCCTAGCCCTCCCGGTGGGCACGTAATCAGCCTCGTCCAGAGACAGCGTGGCCCGGGGTCTGAGCTGCAGACCACCCTTCCTCCTCTCTGAGCCTTGGTTTCCTCATTCTGGGAAGGGGGCGTGCCTCACTGGGCTGGTGCCCAGGGGACCGTTCCATCCCTCAAAGGCCCTCTCTTGAATAAAGGACACCCCTCCTGGTGGGTGGAATTCAGGAGCGTCAGCTGTGCTTCCATGGAGATGCCAGGTGTCCTCTTGGGGGGCTACAGGTGGAACAGCGGTCTCTGAGATCGCTGGGTCCATGCTGTGGGGTTTTCTCTTTTACAGACAAGAAATGTCCAGATTACACCTGCCCAAGTGAGTCCCGGGGAGGGGGAGGGGCTCCTGGGGGCGGGGCACCGGGTGAGGAGGGCCCAGAGGCCACGGGGCGGTGGGCGCGGCTCTCGGCTCTCGGCCTCGTGCGTGCTCACGGCCGTCCCGCCCACAGTCACCTTCTCCTCGCCGACCGACATCACCATCCTGCTGGACGGCTCGGCCAGCGTGGGCAGCCACAACTTTGACACCTCCAAGCGTTTCGCCAAGCGGCTGGCCGAGCGCTTCCTGACGGCGGGCCAGACGGGCCCGGGCCAGGAGGTGCGCGTGGCGGTGGTGCAGTACAGCGGCACCGGGCAGCAGCGGCCGGAGCGCGCGGCGCTGCAGTTCGTGCAGAACTACACCGTGCTGGCCAGCGCCCTGGACACCATGGCCTTCCTCAATGACGCCACCGACGTCACCGACGCCCTGGGCTACGTGACCCGCTTCTACCGCGAGGCCTCGCCCGGCGCTGCCAAGAAGAGGCTGCTGCTCTTCTCGGACGGCAACTCGCAGGGCGCCACGGTGGCCACCATCGAGAAGGCCGTGCAGGAGGCCCAGCGGGCAGGCATCGAGATCTTCATGGTGGTGGTGGGCCCCCAGGTGAACGAGCCCCACGTGCGCGTCCTGGTCACCGGCAAGGCGGCCGAGTACGACGTGGCCTTCGGTGAGCGCCACCTGTTCCGCGTGCCCAGCTACCAGGCGCTGCTGCGCGGTGTCTTCCACCAGACGGTGTCCAGGAAGGTGGCGCTGGGCTAGCAGCCGGGCCACCGCCACTGAGACGGAGAGCGGGAAGGGGACTCGAAGGTTTCTGACCCACCCGACTAGCTCGGTTGTTTTAAAGGAAACGCTTGAAAGGCCGTGATTCAGTGCTCTGTGTTTGGCCAGCCCCTCTGAGCGGGGTGTTGCCGCCCCTGCCCCTGGGCTGTGCCGGCCCCCTCCCGCCGCCCACCTGAACCCGCACCTGAACCGTCCCGCCTCGCGCTGCCGGTCAGGGTCCCCTAATCCCGAGTCAGGACCCCTAACCCTGGTTTCTCTTTCCTCTCTGGGGTCAGCTGTCACCGCCTCCCCTCCCCCACTCCCTCACAGCTTGACTTTCCTAGAGTCAGGTCTCCCAGGGAGCTCGCTCACAATGATGAGCCTGAGCCCTGATGAGCCGACACCTCCTCCCGAGGCTCTTGTCACTCACCCCCCCGCCAGCAGAAACCGCGACTCCTCGACCCCCATGTCACAAAAACCCCAGAGCAAAGGTGCTATCCTGCCCCCATCCCCAGCCCAGGACGCAGAGGCCTCGCCCCGCCACCAAGGGCAAAGTGATGCATTTCACCAAAAACAAGCCAAAGCTCTTTTCCTCAAGGAAGTGATCGGTTCTACATTTTACTGAAGGCCTTCCTGGTACTTTAGTTTTACTTTTACTCCTTCCTGTGTTTTTTCTCAACGGTGTCCATGTCGGCGACTTTTCCAAATAAAGGCTGTCACTCCCCTTTCCGCGGTCATCTGTCCGAGGAGTTAGACCCACTCGGTGTTTGCGCTTTGCACCAACAGGAGGACTCAGAGGTGCTTGGGGCGCCCCACTCAGGGCCAGTAGAGGTGCCTCCCGCCTCTTCCGGGTCTGGGGCAGGAGCTGGGAGGGGCCCTGACACTCTGGGCTGCAGAATCAGAAGTGGATTCAGGGGGGGAGGGCAGCTGGAAGAGCCAGTCGGATCCAACAAGATAAATCCCCGAAGGGCCACAGCATCCCGGCATCAAACCCAGCTCTGGCCTTCTGTGGCGGCTGGCAGATTTGGGCCTGGGTTCAGGGCAGTAAGAGGGCCTCCCCCAGGAGGGGGGGGGGTGCCGCAGGGCTCAGGAGAGGTGGGTGGGGCCGCCCGCGGGCCGACGGCACCCCACCCCAACCCCTCACGCAACGGGTCCGAGCGCCGGGCCGCGGGGACTCTGGGGCAGCGGCGCCCGTGTGGAGGAGGGGTCAGGGGTCTCCCTAGGGGCTCAGCCCCTGCCTGATGTCACACTCAGCTCCATGGGAACCCAACAGCTGCTGGCGGTAAGTGTCCACTGCCCCACTGTCACCAGAAAGAGCCCGGCCTGAGGGGTGACCCCCTCAGCGGTGTGACCTTGAGCCAGTCACCTTCACCTCAGTGCCCTCGGCCACAAAGTGGGCTTGTAACAGGGACGCACCCACCCGAGGCCTCACCCTCTCACGTCGCACGCTTCTCCGTTTGGGGCCAAGGCAGCTCGAGCCCCCAGACGTGGCCGCGGAGGGGAGGCTGAGGGCTTGCAGGAAAGGGCAGCTTTAGGGGGGCAAGCCTGGTCAGGGAGGGGGCGCCGGGGCTCCAGGAGCCTCTGCAGGACCCCCGCAGCCCCCACTAGGCTCAGGCTCCCTCCTGGGGACCCCGGGTCTGCGCCCAGGTCGGGGGGCCGAGGCATGGGTCTGGGGGCTCCCCGCACTCGCAGGCCTCCCCACCCCGCCTGGAGGTGGTCACCCCAGGGACCTCTTCCTGAAGGACAGTGAGAAATCAGAAACTTCCCCTTTAAGAGGGCCGCGCCTTTAATCCGTGAATCACCTCTCTAACTGGAGTCCCTGGTTGGGACCCGGCCTCAAGCGCGCCTCTCCTCGCTTCCCAGCCTCGCTCGGCCAGATAAGGACAAGCACCATCCGCCTTCATTCTTTTCAAACTGCTGTGAGGGAAACGTCCAGCCCACACGCCCACATCCCTTCCAAGTTTGTAAAGGAAATGTTCCAGACCATCATGTGAAGTCCCGCAAACGCCTGCAAAGCCAGTTACCCAGCTCCTGTCGGTGGGTCAGGATCCCTCTCTTGCCTGGGCCCTGTGGCTCCCTTCTGTGCACAGTTGGAGCTACAGGGCACCGGGTTGGCCGGGGGTGCAGAACACCCTCATGGGGCCGGCCGCCCCCCTATCTGTCCTGACCCACACTGCCAGGGGCGGCACCCGGCCTCTCTCCTGGCTGCACCTCCCAGGAAGCCTGGTCCTTGCGGTGGGATCCCAGGGTCGCTCGGAGGCCTCCTGCCAGCCCCACCTGGAAGCTGCCCGGGATCCGTCGCAGGCAGGCACGGGGCAGACAGGGCACACGCAGCCCATCTCCGGGATCCCTTTATTCTGACCCAGCCGCGCAATCCATCCGAGTGTGGGTTCAGAGGCCCAGATGTTTGTGAAATTGACCTCGGGGCTGCGGCCTCCACGGGGTCCTGCCCGGACGGCAGAAGGGCTTCGGCCTCACCTGCCTTGGTTTGTGTTTTGTGACTATTTTTTTGTCATCCTTTCACTTTCAAACTCCAGACACGCTGTCCTGGTGTGCGTTCTGAACATGGCCTTCAGGGGCATTTAACCCTGTCTGACGGTCTTTGTTTTTCATGGAGGAGTCGATCACCTTCACATTTATTGCTACAGCCAGTATTTGGTCTTTATGATGCGTTTTTGATGCTAAGAATGTGCAGGAAGGAACATTTTACCATCCATGATTTTTGAGGGCCAGCGGAAGGCTGTAGGTCCTAGGGCTGTTGGCCACGCAGCTCACTGATCGAGACCCGCGGGCCAGCCCTGCCCTGGGCGCCTCCACTCGCCAACCCGACTGCTGGCCCAGCAGCTGCGGTCTAAAGGAAGTGATGCCCTCCCGGGGCAGGATTTTAAGTTCAGCTGCTCCTCTGTCTTTCGGCTGCGGGGATGACGACACTTATGGTCCCCGGAGACTGAGACGCCCTCCTCCAGTGAAGCCTGGATGGCCACTTGGGGAGCAAGGTGAGCTGGGACGAGCCGCCGCCCACGGTCAGGAGGGGCCGTGTGGCGAGGCGTGGCGGGAGGTGGCGTTAGAGCCCCTGCGGGACCCTGGAATCCCTCACTCTTCCCTCACAGCCCGCCACACCACCCTGAGCCCTGTGCCAACCAAAGACTCGGGGAGAATGTTCTTCTGTCCACAGGAGAAAGGACGGCAAGCCAAGGCCCATCCACGCCACGAACTCCACGCGTGACACCACAGAGCACGTGTGAGCTTCACACACATCGTGCCGAGTGAAAGACGCCAGACTCACACGTGCTGCGCGGCTCCGTCTGCAGAAGCTCGAGGGTGGGAAAGCTGATCGGTGGCGGTAAGTCGGTGGTGGGAAGGGCACAGGGAACTTTCTGGATAATGGAAGTGTCGTCTATCTTGATGGTGTGTGGGTCACGTGGGTGTGTGTTTGTCACAATTCTTAGAATTGTACACATTCAGACGCTTTAGATTAAAAGAGAGAAGCTGGAATTTCTGCCACCGGCTCCCCATCTGCACCATCTCTGGCAGCTCTGGACCCCCCTCCGCCTCCCTGTGGCTGTGTGTCTGCTCCCCAGCACACGTCCACCCCCTGGGGTGGGGAGCTGTAAGCCTCCCTCCCGTTGCAGCCTCATGGTCCTTCTCACAGGCAGAACGGGGCATTTCTTTAACTCATACTGACTGCTCCCCTGAGTGTGAATCGGCTGGGACACCAATCCTGGGACTCTGCAGCGTAACTAAGGTCCCAAGGCGGTTGCTTTCAGGTTAATCAAATGGAAGGTTCTCCTGGGTGGGTCCGACCGAAAAGACATCAGAGAGATTTCTCCTTTCTCCTGCTGGCCTTCTAGGAGCCGCCCATGGAGGGCGGCCAGGCACAAGAGGGGACCCCAGCCCCACCACAGCCAGGATCTGAACCCCACCAAGAACCAGTGAGTCTGGAAAAGGGCCCCCAGCGTCGGACTGCACAGGCCGACAGGCTGTTTCCAGCCTGCGAGACCCGAGGGAGACCAGCCGGGCTGTGCCCAGACCACTAACCACGGGGCCCATGAGATGGTCCATTTGTGTTCTTTTAAAACTACTGAGCTGGTGGCGCTTCGTTACACGGCTGTGTGAGTTCGGAGGCCGTACACCCTGTCTCCATCTCTTACCCCCGGTCCTTCTCAACTCTTGTCGTAATTTAAGAGACACCCCCCTCTCCCCACTCCTCCCTCCTGGAATCAGGCCCATTGGCAACAGTGGTGCAGGAAGAGGGGACACCTCCTTCCCCCATCCTCCTTCTGAAGGTCTCCTGTCAGGGCGCCTGAGACCACCTGCCCCCCTGGGTGCAGCCTGGCTGCCGGTGTTTGCCAAGGGGCAGCCGGCACCAGCATATCTGTCCCATCGTCTGTGCCCTCCTGCCGGTTTCCACCTCCCTCTACAGTTTGGATCCTCTCCAACTGGGGGGTCATCCTGGGTCATCTGGGTGGGCCTGGTGTTATCACAAGGGTCACAGAGTTTGCGGTGATTTGTTGCAGCACCCACGGGACACACACTGAAACTCAGTCTCTCTTTTAGCCTCGACCTCATGGCCCCATCAAATGCACTGAACTTTCTTCTCCAGTTGAGCCTGAGAGAATCTCCTGGACGGTCCAAAACGGCACCAGGGTCAACGAATGATAAATTGATATGTTTGTAAAAATAAAGTTTATAGGGCTTCCCTGGTGGCGCAGTGGTTGAGAGTCCGCCTGCCGATGCAGG